ACTCTTTCTCAGGGCTTCTGCTTCCTTGATGTAAAATAAAAATAAACTAAGCGATTAGTAAGGCAGCTCTGAAATATTTGATTCTGTAATGTTAACCTAAATCCCATAAAAATTAATGACCACATTGCAGAAGTGAAGTCATAGTGTATTAATGCTAAACTTGTTTTGTTTCATGCAGGGATCAAAACTATAGAAACTGAGTTGCTTTGGAAAACATTTTTCATTCATTCAATTCAAACAGATATAGAAGACAAAAGAAGAGAGGGGGAAATATTTACTTGGGAGGGTTGGATCTATGAAAAAATGAAGTTTGTAGAATATGAGAGAAGGTGATGATTCTTTAAAGAAATACCAACAAAAATCATTTCTTCGATTAACATGCCTGAGGCAGTGGTGACATTCAGTTAGTGTAAAAAGTAACAAAACAAACTAGATTTTTGTTTATCTCATGAACTAAAAGGGCACCGAATAAATAACACATCAAAACCAACACCCCATTATGGGAGCATTAATCAATGTGAAATAAACATCACAAATTGTCACAAAATGTCTTTGATTATCTATATTGCCATTTCTTCCCAATCTGTACCAATTTACAGTTTTCAGAATAATGGCTTTAGATAAAGCAGTATTTAAAAAAATCAATTATAAAGCAGCTGCACTTTTTTTTTAGTTGCATGCTTTTAAAAAGATTTTGCACTTTTAGCACCTTTCTAAAATTCTGGTCTTACCCAAGGAACCCAAATGAGAATATTTGAACACATTTATAGGGTTGATTTTCCACGAATGTACCCACAGCAAATAGCTAACCTCTACTCTTTTCACCCAATTTCACAATTTTATGTGGATGAAAGTGTAAGCTCTCCATGAGTCTCCTCATTCTGTTCCCTGGATTTGAATCATTCCCAAGCTTCTTTTTCAAATAATCATTATGAGGACCTTAAAAGGACATAAGTGGGTACTGTACTCTCAGGGTCAGTTACCTATGAAATTCACATCTCTTCATGTGACAAAGAAAATTTCCTTTTAACTGTAAATTTACAGATTTTCTCTACAAATTCTATCTTTAGTAAAGGGTAGTCATACTTAAAGGCAAAAAAATAATCTAATTAATTAGTCTTTAGTACTTGCTTTTTGATAAGTAGCCCTGGATCATATATTCTGGGTTTTATCACAGTATTTTGAATTCAAAGAATTGATATTAAGCTATTAAAAATTTTTAAAGGAAAGCTGCTAAAACTAGAAAGGGTGTTGTAATTTATTTTATTTCTGAAAGGGAGATGAATTTTCTCCAGCTTTAGATACTACTGGTTATAATTTGGAGTAGTTACTAAGGCAAGTGAGGCTTCACAAGTACAACAATGTGTTAAGTTTAACACAGACTTTCATAAACAAATGACATGTTTAAGTAGGACAAAGCTTAGAATTAACAACAACAACAACAAAATTGCTAATGTGTAAATACCCAGTAAACCAACCAACCAACCAACTAACAAACAGCACTGCAGACTTTGGATGGTAAAACAGGACTTTATAAACTGGAAGTGCCGTGTTCATAAATACTATACTGCAGTTTTTTTTTTTTTTAATTTATTTATTTATTCATATAGAACTGGAGTATAGGCCAGAGATGCGGAGGGTGAGAGGATTCACCAGAGACAGAGTAGGGAGCAGAACAGGCAGATTGACGAAGTACACTGCTGAGGGGAGCAGCGGGCGGGTCAGGAGAGGTCTGCCGCGCCATGTCGTCACCTCCGGATGGTCACCTCCGGGGGCAGGCGGGGATCGAACTCATGCGGAAGTGGCTTTAGCTTCTTAGTGCTGTGCTTTAACCCGCTGGGCCACCAGGGAGGGCCTATACTGCAGTTTTAAATATGCACAATATCGGATAACAGACTTTCTTTCCTCACTCCCTACTTTTATTTTCATGTTGATTTTTTTTGGTCTTAAACTAGAAAATCCCAGGGTTTAGTAAGACAAAGTCTAGCACAAGATTCAAGTGGACTAAAAGTGATAAAGTTATAAATTACCTAAAGTTGTAAAGTGGTATCTGGTACTTTATCTTCCCTTCTCACTCTCCAAAGATCAAGGAAACACCCACCTTTGCCACACTATGAAGACTGGTTTGCTACTAAAAGGGACCATTTAGGGAAGGTTCTTTGGGCAGAGTCCATGAGAGGGTGGAGACAGTGCCGATTTCAACACGGTAGCTGTCACACCATGGAACGCAAGGAGGGTGTGACAGTGCATGGTGTTGTGTGAGTGTGTGAAAGAACGTATGCATATTTTAAAAAGCACCAAATAAAAAGGCATAAGCATAATAGTGTGTCAGGCAAGAGCAATTCTTACCCCAGAGCTGGATTTCTAACCAATCAAAAGCATATCTGCACAAATTCACTCCAGATCCACCCAGGGAGAGTTCCTTATACCATGCCAGTCACTAACCACCTTATATGATACGTTAATGTATTTCTCACCTTATGAAAAAGGTGCAAAGGAAGACACATTCATGTTTAAGAGCATACATTTTGGAATCAATGAAATGAGCTCAATTCCCAGTTTCACCACTTGCTGATTAAAAAATTTCAGACATTTTTGAGTCTCAGTGTCCCCTATAAACTGGGGACCAATTAGAGAATATACAGTAAGATGCTTAGCAGAGTGTGCAGGACTTATTAAGTACTCAAATATCTTTTGCTCATACAGCTTCAGTTTAAAGATGAGGAGTCAGAAGTAGTGAATCTGTCAAAGATGACACAGGTGGCAAACAGTGAAAGTAGGATTTGAATTAGTATCTGAAGGACAAAATTTGTCTCTTCAACTCTTACACTGAACCACTCTCTAACACAAGTTATTATTTTATCTGTTGGCCTAACTGCTACCCTTGAAATCTTATTCTAAAAATAATCAAGAGAGAGAACAACCTTCCCACTTGTATTTATTTTTTCAAAACAATCATGTCGCATTGTCTTGAAAGTTGAGGTTTCAAATATCCTTTAGGCTAATAAAAGCTCTTACATTTCTGAAGAAAGGTCTGGTTCTTTGCCTCCTAAAGCGCTCTTTTAAAAAGTGTCCCTGAGCTTGCTCACTGAGGGACTCAGAAAGAACCCTGAACACACTGCTTTGTATTCTCTTAGCTTCCACACTTCCGCTGTTCCACCTATTACTTGATAGATGGAGAATTCCTGGTATTTGTGGCTGAAATTTCACACCTGTCAATCCAATCTGAGAAAACAGGAGACCATGGCAGGCCTTCAACAATAGGACTCGTCTCTAAATTCCCTCGCAGTTGTTTCTTTAAATGTCAGCTTTATAATTCTTTTGAATTTTTCGTTAAACAACTTCTCCATCCCTCCCTCAGATATCTACAGAACATCTATGGTAAAACAAAATAAAAACCCGATCCTGACAAATTGTGAGTTCCCCTTATTAGATAAATACTCCCTCCCTGTAACTGAGGGATAGGAGAAAAGATAATCTTCCCGATTCCAACTGGAAGAAGGGAAATTTCCTTTGATGACTCAGATTTAAACAGGTTTGTACATGTTTGGTTTTGTTTGGAGATCAGTATTTAATTTAGAAATGCCTTGAGAACTGAGATTTCTAATATCTTTTAGGCTAATAAAGTAAGGATCTTATAGGGCTTAAGAAAAGCGCAGTTACCGTATCTCTTTTCAGTTCATCTGGTGTATGAAAAGCTATTCCATTTGCATTAAAAGCTGAAAAATTTCCGGGCTGCAAAAGCCTGCAAGGTACAGGAGGACATCAGCTGCCTGAAGCTTTACAACATCAAGTGCAATTTGGGGAGGACAAAAAGGCAGCGAGATGAGTCTTTCCTTTTATGGGGGAAAGGAGGCTGAGGTTCTAACTTGGCAGAGCAGATTCATTTAGAAAAAGAAGGCTCCCTTGGTTTAAATTCCAATTTCTAAATCTCTCTTGGGAGATGAAGGCTCTTCTGTGTGCCTTTCACAATCAAACAGTTGGTTAGGGCCTCTCCCCTTCATGGCTTTGAAATCCTCTCCTATTCACATGGTCACAAGGAGACAGCCCTGAGGCTGGGATGGCAATTGCTTCCTGGGCTCTGGCTGGCCGGGTTCCACCGGCCCTTGCAGCAGCAGGCAGGGCTGCCCTTGGATTCACAAATGCCCACCACTTGGCGGAACAACAGACCCACGCAATCTCCCTGTCCCCAAATAGCCTCTTGCTACATTAATTGCATCATTGATACATTAAAAAAATTAAGTGGCCTTTTATTCTAGGGCGACCATTTGAAGGAGAAAATATTCACAAAACACCAGCCTTTGTGACTAAGACTGATAACACCGTTGTTATTTTACTTCACAGTTGTGGTCTGTGCATTAAGAAGCTTATCGGTGTATTTATAAAGAGTTATGCTCTATATTGTTATTGCATCACTTGCTAGACAAGAACTCTACGAGATGGCTTTGGCTGAAAGTTTTAAAGGAAGAGCCTAGTTCAAATCTAATGGAATTCGTTTTCAATACTCGGTTAATTCCTAAAACATCGGTGGTGTTTGCACAAAAAAAACGACACTTTAAGAAGAGTTTTGCTTCTTGATTTAAAAAAAATTCACATGATTACTTTGCTTACACAAAGAGTTAATAAACAGTCACTACTGAATTAATTTGCTCTGTCCAGCTAACAGCTGCAGCCTGAGCGTCAAGTTCAAAATGCAGAGACAAATGGATTTGACTAGGGTGCACGCACCTGTTCACCTTCCCAACCTGTATGGAGTCCATCCAGGTGCTCCCTAACAAACAACCGGACTTACCGGTACCCAGGAGCAGGCCTGGGCTTGACCTGCAGTGACCGGGGAGTTCCCCACTCTTGCGTGCAGATTTTCACTTGCATGGACCATGCCGGTGGAGTGACCCCTGACAGCAGACAGATAGATATACGCTTGGCTGTGAGAGCCAGGCCGCCTGGGATGGTGCATACTGAGGAGTCCCAGGTGGACAGGAGAAGTAGGAGGCACTCACCTGGAAGATAAGCACTTTGAAATGGTTGCGTCTGAGGAGCTGCGCGTGGTTGTTCTCCAGCCGCTTCACCTGCGCACACTGCCGCTCCATGCGCTCCTTAACCGCTCGCGTGTGCGCGCTGACCTTGCGTGACTTCTCCAGCAGCTTGCTCACAGTGTTGCTGGTGGAGGCCTGGTACTTGGACAGCTTGGTGAGGTCGTTCTGAATGCCTTTCACAGAGCCCTCCAGGCTGATCTGCCGCTGCTCCATCTTCTGCTGGTTCTCCTGCACGGTGTCCAGCATGTTTACCAGCTTGTCCAGGAGCGTGAGAACTGTGACGGCATTCACCTGCGAGTTATCCCGGATGGCCTCCTCCGTGCTCCCCAGGTTCAGGCTCGGGCTCGGCGTGGAGGAGGGCACAGGGCTGGTGCTGGCTGTCTTCTCCTGCCGCATGTCAGAACCCGGGTGCTGGAACTTCTCAGCTTGGGCAGCGTCCTCCCCCATGGCTGGGTAGGTGGGACTGTTCCTGCTTAGGCGGGCAGGGTGGCAGCGGGGACGGAGTGCAGAGCAAGGCGTCCTGGTTTAAGCTCAGAACAACGCTCTCCAGGACTGGCGGAGGTTCAGACAGGCAACAACTGGCTGCACTGATCTGGGGAACTGCATTCCAGCTGCTCTTAAAGGACCTACTCCACCCAGTGGGAGGCGAAGGTTAGAGAACTGAGAAGCACTCAGGGTTCAGAAGCATGCGCACACTCCCTAACCACGTTGTTGGCGTTGGGCACTTTGTTGCAGGTTAGCTTTTCTTTTCTACTCCTCTTCCCTTTTTAAAATCAGTTCAATGTCATATTTCAATCATGACTTCATCAAAGGCGGAGAAAAACATGCTAACTTGGCCCTGCTCCACAGCCTCCAATTGGTTAAAGCTAGTAAACTTTTTCTCTGGCTGCTACGCTACCGATGCAACAGAGCGCCTGTTTTTTTTTTTTTTCCTGGATACAAGTTATTGTAACGGAAAGTATTGTTTGCATTTGCCCTAGAACTGACTGATGGGCTGCCTGATGTCCTCCTGGGAGGAGCCAAGTTTAAAGGGTACTTGGAGCCAAATTTATATTATTATTGTTTAGTTTCTGAAGAAGTGGAAGTGATCCTGATGAAGACAAAGGAAACAGTCCTGATCTTATTTCTTTTGCACTTGGGGATAAATAGAAAGAGGCTAAACTTCAAGGGGATGTTAAAACAAGGAATGGTGGTATTGTTCTGGACTGTTAGGTTTTAAGTCCGGAGTTTCTTCGGGACAGTACAACTGAAAGAGGAAAAAATAAATAAAAACAAAGTGAGCCTGTCATGCCGATTTGTTTAAACTGATTTTGAATTGGTGCTGAGAATTTTTCTCAAATGCCCATCTCAGCCAGGAATTTATTTACTTATTTTAAAAGATTTATTTATGCATACAAGGTCAAGGGTGGGGAGTATGTGTGAGAGGATTCACCAGAGACAGAGTGAGAGTGGGGAGCAGAACAGGCAGATTAACTGAAATACACTGCTGAGGGGATCAGCAGGGAGACTGGAGAGGTCTGCTGGGCCTTATGAGTCACCGCCCTGGTCAGGGGTCAAACTCTTGCTGCAGTGGCTGTGATAGCTTCATAAAGTGCTGCGTCTTAACCCCTGGAGGCTCCTCAGTCAGGCATTTATTGACAAGTGCCCAGAGCTGTGACTGTTGAGTGGGCGATGCTGCCATTTCTGAAGTGCTTCTAGGTTTGACATTTCCAAATTCCTGTTCAGTGGAGAGGCATACCTGTTCTAAAATGTGGCCCTCCTCAGCGCAGCCCTTGGGGTGTGAGACTTATTTCCTAAAACGACTTTACATGCTTGAATTGGTTTTAAATGTATCCAGCCTCTGAAGGTGCTTTCAGCAGGAAATTTGTAATAGACCTTCTGTGAACAGTTTTGAGAAGAACAAAGACAGGCTCGTGTTGGTCAGAGATTGATAATGGAGAAGTGTCATTCTTCAGTGGCAAAATCTATACTTCAGGCAAGTGTTCAGCATGTCATTAGCAGTCCTATTTATTAAGCATGGGTCTCTCCACTACTCAGTTCTGTGCCTGATGAACTATATAGAAGGTGCTAATAAGGTAGAAACTAAGACTTTTGCCTTGGTGGCTATACCTGCTAGTTAGGGAGGTAAATTGAAGATGTTTACAGTGGCCCACAATATATTCAGATATTTGGCACGCACCCCCAAATTCACTTAAGGTGTATCTTTTAAAAAACAGTCACAAAAAGGTAAAAGAATGTGCACAGGAATTTGTCTTTTAAAATGTAAGAATATCACTAATGAATTTACCTTATGTTGAACAAAATTGAGTGAACCATGTGTGAAAGATTAGAACAGAGGGTGACTCAAGTGTTGATTTTGAGAAGGATAATTTTCTAACAAAATTAGACACTATCATGATACAGTATCCTTTTACATTTGACTTCTGTGGGCAAATCATAAGGAGGGTCATTTTTGCAAAAATATTTCAAGGCTTCATCATTTTTCCAAGAGCCTCTCTTAAATTTTGACATTCAAATCATACCGTTTTGAAGCACTTATTCTGCCATCATCTGTATGGATTTTTTCTTCTTAAATGTTAACTGTTCCAGCTGCAGATTCTCATTTGTCAGAGGAATTACCCCTGATTCAAGGGCTTCTCTAACATTACCTTCATCAACTTCATGATTTTTTTTTTTACATATTTTGAAGGATTTGCCATTTCACATTATAATCACTTTGCCCTGGTTTTGCATGGATTTGCAATGATTTTGCATTGCATTGTTGGATATAGTATAATCAGCTAGATGAATGGAGACATTAAAGAGATGAAGTTGAGGTGGGGAAAGGAGAGAGGATATTTGTTAAACAGGAATAAAGGTTTGCATGTGTGCTTATTTATTTAAAAAAATTAATTTTAAGCAACACTAATACCATGTTAGTTATCTATTGTTGTGTAACAAACCAGTCTGAAATTCAGTGGCTGAAAATGGTAATAAACATGAGTTTTATTTATTCATGATCCTGTGATTGGCTAGGTAGGGCTCAGCAGAAGTCTCTTCCAGGTATATTCATTCAGCTGTTATATGTATTGAAGTGTCTTAGACGGTCTTAGTCACATATCTGGCTCCTTAGACGGCACAACTGGAATGCTGGGACTTCTCTCTCTCTTTCATCTTTCAACCTCCAAAGAGTCTATTTGGTATCTCTGATGGGGGAGCTAAATTTCTTTAAATTCCAATGTTGTGGTAACAGAAATTGTAGGATATCTAAGGAATGGACAGTGGAACGTTCCCTTATCATTTTCACCAGGTCTTTCTGGTCACAGGAGAAGCTGAGAGTCAGGGGACAGGAAATAGCTTCCTCCTCTTTTGATGGAAACAGAAACATTCCAAGATCAGGGCTAAGCCATGTGGGAGAGATTTTTGGAATCTTTGGAGATAATCTACCTCCACATGAGTTCATTCTTCTTTTAGAATAAAGTTGACGGTCCTTTCTCCATTTTCACCCCATTGCCTTTTAACTTTTGTCAGATAGAGTCATTTGTTGCATTTGGAGTCTGTCCTTTGGTAATTGCCAAGTGATCAATTCATTAAAGATAAGTCTCGTGTTTTCTGCAGTTTGCTTTATTGCACATGTGATAATCATGGGGACTATTAGGAGGTCTGCCGTGGGAAGTGTAGGTCATACACTAGGAGGTGAAGTACTACTGTGACAGAAATCCTGAAATTGTAGGGTAGGAAGATTTTCTACAAGGGGGAAGGACAAACAGTGAAAAAGAGTGTTTTGATGAGTTAAAATTTGAGATAACCCTGAGCAGCCACTTTCACCATTTAGTGGCTCTAAATTAAGTTCTATTTATGTCCAAAAGAATTCAGTGAAATTTAGCCATCAACTCCTAAAAGATATTAAAAAAGTAAATCTACTATAATATTCCTGGGAAATTAGATACCAGTGTTTAGATTCCACACAGGCAGATAAGAAGCTACTGTAGGTTTTGAACTTGTAAAAGTGATGTGCTTAATTAAGAAGGATCAGTGAAGCAATAAAATGCAGCCAGGGGTCACTTGGTGGTAAAGTCTGTTGAGTAGGAAAAAAAAATGCTAGGAGATGAGGATACAAAGGCAAGTGACATGTATTTGCTGTCCTTTGAAAGGTTCCACTTCATTGGGAGAATTAGGCAGAGACAAGTAGAAGGTAGAGATAAACAGATGTGGAGTTGGAGTTGGGTAACATGAGTGCGACAGTGTAGAGTCAGTTGAAACCTCTAGTTGACCACTAGCTTCCTCCTGTTATCTCAGGTCTCTAAGTTAGATAAGCTCAAAACTCACTCCAGGAAAATGCCTCCTATTTTACTCACTCAGGCATGGGTTCCAATCTCCATGTGGTTTCCTGTCCTGGTCTATTAATAGGTCCCAGTGCTTGGTTAACCCTTTAAAGCAATTTCTAGAGCAGAGGCAGCTCACAGTCCTGCTTCATTGACCTTTCCTGTTTAAACCCATATGGTTATCCTGATATTCTTGGTCTTATTACTGTGGCAGTGATAGACTTGTGACAGTGAACTCACAGAAAAGAAAGCTATTCCCTTCCATGATGACAGAGGAGGGTAAACTGCCACTTTGCTCCTTGTATCTCCTTTTTGAGCCCCATATTGAAGTTCAAAGGCCCTCAAAGGTTGGGTTCTTATGAGAATTCTAACATAGGAAAATAAAGAGGAACATCATGACACACATTTTTTTAAAGAAAGAGAAAGCAGGAGAAAAAACCAAAGTGTCTTCCAAGATGAAGAGGAAGCTTTCCACCTTACTATTCCTCTTATTGAAAGCGCTTTCTACCACCTACCATCTACTCATGAGGTGTCCTCTAGGTTCCTAACTTCTGGCTACTGAGAGCATCAGTCCACAGCTCTCTTGTATTTCTTTACATTTTTATAGCAGAGGTATTGGCAGCCTTTTGTTCTGGACTACCTTTTCAAGAATGCTTGTGGAGTGTACAGCTTTGGAAAATAAAAGTAGTAGCAGGGGGTAGAGAGAGAGTGCATGGTAGAATTATTTGATGTTTAGTGTAATAAAGAAAATGTTTCTCTTTGGGGTAAAGGTTGGGCATATTGTACCCTCTTAGAAAAGGTTGGAGTTTCCAAAACTTGGGGTTCTTCAGATGTGATACGAACCCACTCCATGTGCAGGATCCATCTAAAGCTACTGTGTGTGACTTAGGGGCAGGCTAGTTCCAGAGAACTATTGTGAGCAGGAAGCCAATGTGACTGCTGTGCTATGAGTAATAAGTCTTTGTCTTTGAGCCAGGAGACTTGTATTTTTTTTTTTTTTTTGGTATGAACCTTTTTATGCTAACTCGTTTATTGCAAGTAGGGTAAAATGTGCGAACATTCAAAGTTCTTGACACTATCCACTTTTTCATCTAGCCGTAATATCTTACATGGCTGAAGCTGAGAATGAAGTTGAGGATGTAGGAATATGTTTAAAGACATTGGAATAGAGGATTAGCTAATTTAGGAGCCTTATATGGAATTTTACTTGCATTTTTTGTGGACTGAATTTCATATGGAAATATATTTTTAGGGTGATT